AACATTCCAGGAAAGTAATAATAGAAAGGCCATCATCTGTAGGAAGCATGGCCATTGCTAGAGATGATGGGATCTGAGATCAGTTCTTTTGGCAGCCACCAGGTTAGGTCATTATCCATCCAACAAGACACTGGACTATTTCAGCGCTGACTGCTGTAGTGGATGTTTTGAGAGCTGAGTCTCCATTTGCATTTTCAGCATGGTTTAGTAAGCCGTGTCGTTTTCATAATTTCCTGGCATGAAGTTATAATACTGGTATAGCAACTTTGTTTTCATGAGGGGCCTGCATGTGACCTCTAAGGGCCATCCAGGGGCTGTAGCCGCCCCCCCCACAAAGTAGACAGGGACAGGATAAAAACTAAACTTGATTTCATTTAAGTGGCATTTAATTACAAATACAATTGAAGTAATTAAATTCCATCTATACAATTGCATCCTATGCGTTTAATAATTTTCCTCTCCAGTCACAATAATGGTTATCAGTTGGTTGTGACCTCTGGAGGCTTTGAGGTTTTGTGTGTAGGAGGCTTTCAACTTTGTGTGGCTGAGGGGGATCAACCTACATGGCTACACAAGAACCGTGTCCCTCCTGAGCCAGATAATGCTCTTGGTCTTTAAAGAGTTGTCTTATTTTTTTCAATTTTCAGAATCTATTTTAACACCTCAGTTTGGCTTCAAAGCAGAAGTGAAAGCAGTTGTAACAAGAAGAAAGAGAACCAAGCTTGTAATTTCCTGAGAAGACCAAGTAGGATTAATCCCCCCAACACAGAAAAAAGAGACTCTCTTAAATGCGTAGGGAATCCAGTGCTATCATAAGCCACCCACTGCTCCAACAATTTTGACTTTGAATGAACTGAGCACTATAAACAGGATCAGTATCAAGATCCAGAAGTCTTTCATAAAACACATTATTCAAAACAAAATAAAACCAAACAATAATATGATCCAGAGCAGAGGATCATTTAAATACAGGAAACTGACATCTGCTTTCCCATTTGTTCTTCCACTCAAAAAGATCCTATTAACATTTCTGATGAAGAAACACACAATTTTTTTGCATATCATTGTGAAGCTTCTCTGAGTCCAACTTTCAGAGATTGTCTCTTGGTCATCTTGCTGCAAAAGTTGATCAGCAAGAGCTCACATAAGGCTGAGATCTGTTTTCACTGAGGAGGGCAGGAGTGAGCCTCTTCCTGTTTCTGCAGCACACAGAAGACCAAAACCAACGTTCCTTGTATGGTTTAATTTCCATCGTCACTCCCCATGTGATTCTGAAAATATGCTTGTGCTGACTTGCTTTGGAGAATGGAACGATTCCAATGGAAGAGAATATATGAGAATATGCAGTTCAGGGCTGAACTGTAGAGTCCTTCATGCCCTCTGAGCATGATTCATCAAGCTTGGAGAGCACCAAGGACTCCACGATGGAAAGATTGCATTGCTCCTTCTGTAAAAAAAAAAAGGAAGTGGCAGACGAGTTGGCTTGCTGACTGTTGAATCTCTCCTCTTTACTTGCAGAGCAATTGTTGCATTCATTTACATGGATTCAATCACATTGAAGGCTAAACCAGGGATTCTCATTTAATCCTTATGTCTGAATCCAGCAGCAGTGAAGGAAGCAATTTCATACAGACCATATCTCTGTCCCATCCAAAGAAGAGACAAATATTCTGGGGTGATTCTGCCTCTGGAGTTATGTTAAGCATTCCGGATTCCTTATCTTGGGAAGGGAGAAAATCTAAGAAGGGGCATTTAGTTATTCCCCCCACCCCACCCCTACCACACCCCCAATTTTTTTTTTTAAAAAAATTGCCCCTGTTTCCATCATGGTGAGGTTACCAAATCTTTATCATTGTAAAGAAGTCGCACCGTAGCTAGCAAGACTGTAAGTAAGGGAAGTAACAAGGATGCTGAAGGGGGGAAAGAACATTTGTAGTTCTGGCTTTATTTGAGGAAGTTTAAAACTTGGGATGTTGCTTAGCTTGTTTTCAATCAGTCGTGATTTAAATAAATCTGAGATCAGTTGTTTTGTGTCGAAAAGTGGCTGTAAGAAAAGACATTCCAGAGCATGGTATAAGCAAACTGTGGACCTCAGATGTTGAATGCTAAAGAATTGGCTTATGGACCATTTTGAGGGAGGCGGGGGGGCAGAATGAAGTCCCCATAGGCTGGATGTGCCACCCTGGCAGGGCAGGTTAACAGTATGAGCCAGAGATTCCCAACCTCATTCTGGTTGTTAGCAGTGGACTTAATTATTTCATAGGAAGCTGACTTGAACAAAGTCAGACCTTTGGTTTCCCAGTGTCAAAAGGCTGAGTGAGTGGTTGGTAAGCTTTAGAAAGGTTCTTCAAGAATAAATGGCAATATAGACTGTCTGAAAATGGTATGTTCCTGTACTCTGACCTTTGCCTGTGATGTGCAACTGAAGGAGAATCCAGGGCCTGCTTCAGAGCAGCAAAGAGGCATAGAAGTTAGATTGGGAACAGTTTCCAATTCCCAATAGGAACAGCAATTATTTATTTAACAGTTTCCAATTCCCAATAGGAACAGCAATTAATTAATTAATTAATTAATTAATTATATTGGTATAGCCTCCCATCGCACAAAAGAAGTGACTCTGGGCAGCATACAACACTCAGTTAAAAAGAACACCAATAAATAGATATGAAACAGTCATTATTAAAAGTATAAAAACTGTAAAAAACACACAGAGCAAGAGAGGAGGATGTTAACCACAGTAAGGGAGCCATCGCAAAATCTCCCTGGTCCCCTGGGACCCTCAGGCCTGATCACATAGCCAGGTCTTGAGGGAGCTGCGGAACGTTGAGAGGGATGGAGCTGATCTCCCTTCCGGGGGAGAAGATTCCGCAAGGCGGGCGCCACGGCAGAGAAGGCCTGTCTCTGGGATCTGCCAATTGGAATTCCCTGGCAGGCAGGACCCACAGCGTGCCTTCCCTGCCAGACTTGATGGGACGGGCAGGTGTAATTGGGGAGAGGCGGTCCCTCAAATAACCCGGCCCCATGCCATGAAGGGCTTTAAAAGTCAAAACCAACACCTTGAATTGGACCCAGAAGCAAACTGGCAACTAATGCAGTTCACGGAGCAGAAGTGTAACGTGAACCCTTCCAGGGGCACACATATAACTGCCCATGCTGCTGCATTTTGCACCAGCTGAAGCTTCTAGATAGTCTTCAAGAGCAGCCCCATGTACAGCGCATTACAAAAGTCCAAGCAAGAGGTAATCAGAGCATGAGTGACTGTGAGCAGAGCCTCCCAGTTCAGTAAAGGGCACAACTGGAGCACAACATGAAGCTGTACAAAGGCCCTCCTAGCCACAACTGCCACCTGCTCTTTGAGCAGGAGTTGTGAGTCTAGGAGGACCCCCAAATTGCGCACTGGGTGTGTCTGGGGCAACACCAGCCCATCCAGCACCAAGATGGTATAGTCCTAGCACCGGAAAGCTCCAAAACCTAAAGCCATTCAGTCTTGCCAGGATTCAGCTGAAGCCTGTTGTTCCCCATCCAGACCCTCGCAGCCTCCAGGCACCAGGATAAGACCAATAACTTGTCCTCTGCTTTTTAGCAACTTAGTTAAAAGATTTTCCCTTACATATAATGCCTGGGACACTTTGGAGAGCAGTCGCTGCACCCTAAGTTGCCATATTGAATCTGGATCCAAGCTGTCCTCCTATTAGAGGACCCTAGGCAGCTAGTTAAACCTTAATTCTCCATGTGCTTCTATTATTCCTTAATAGATTCCGCAAGGCAGGCGCCACTCAGGAGATCCTTGGCCATTCAAGGGGCCAAGGGACGCAATTTTGAGTGGAGGGCTGAAAGCCAGACTCCAAAAAAATAGGTGGAGTCAGGACAAAGAATGGAGTAAGATGAAGACAAATATTCAATGCTTACCCTGTCTTATTAATAATTATGATTTGGCAGCCCAAGTTTTAGGAGACCCACAATTTATACACTCCTGTCCTCTGTGAATTGAGGCAACTTTACTGTGAAGTATTCATTGATTTCCATCCTTCTGTAATCTATCCCTCTACCTCATGAACATTGTTTTGTAGGTATCGGGGATTGATTCTGGTGCTAACGTTCCTGTGCTACACGACTTTTCATCTCTCACGGAAACCCATTAGCATTGTAAAGGTAGGTATAAAAAAAAACCCAGGGTGCAAGACTGTATTTTAGGCATGCAAGGATGGGAGACTCCTTGGCTATCATGATGAAGATCTTTACTGTATTTGCCAACAATCTCCATTAAACAGAGCAGTATTTCTCAATCTTGGCAACTTTAAGATGTGTGGACTTCAACTCCCAGAATTCCCCAGCCAGCCATGCTGGCTGGGGAATT